ATTATAATTTTGAAGTGAATAAAGAGACCGAATAATTAATAAGGTCTACCCGAAAGCTAATCAAATTAATAACCCTAACAAACAACAAACTTGCTACTTTTTTAAGACACTTGCGTTCAAAGCGGTCCAGTGGCTAGTGTGCTGGGCTGTAAAACTGAAGTTCCATGGTTCGCGTCCCGTTACAAAAACAAATCGAACTCTGCACTTTGGAGCAGTATGTGCGTTATAAGAGTGAGATTCAATTCCACTATTTTGTCTGACAAAGAGTTGATGGTGGCTGGTAACTAGCTGTCTTCCCTCTAAACTATCAATTATAAATTAGGGACTGCTAGCGCAGATAGCTCTCGAGTATCTTTGCGAAAAATTCGACAAAATATTTATGTTTAACACATAAAGTTTCTCGTTTTATTCGTCTATAAACATGCACATTAACTTTGTTCTTTTTGGATATGCATTATACACTTTTACTAACACTTAAATAAACCATATTTTATTAATTGAAAATGTTCTATCATCAGTGATATCCCGAAATTGATTCACAAATATCAAATTACACTAACCCTTAAAGATATCTTTAGGTTAGTATAATCTGCGTAATGTTCAGATGTTCATAATAAAGGTTGTAGTGACAAAAATTCGAATTGGAAAACAAAATTATCTATTGCTCGCATCTATTGGCTCATCGGTAAATATGAAGGCTTATAATGCAAAAACCGGGTTTCGATACTCGTGACTGGCATAGTGCAGATCGCTTATTGTGTAGCCTTGTGCTCAACAACAAACAAACAAATAAAATCTGTTTCTCGTCACTACAACCTTTTCCGTGAATACATACACGTCAGAAAAACAAATAACTTCTTCATCAATACTTGTCTATTTCGTATCATTAAATTTCCGGTTCCACGTTTTCTTTAAATATAAATCTTAATATGTTTATGATTACTTCATCGAGTGTGGCGACGTAAGAAATGAAGCATAACCTAATCTCCTATATATATCAAATGAAGATGGCAATGATTATTTTTGTTGTTGTTTCTTGCTTTCTGGTTTTGACACTATAGAATTAATATGTTCCATGAAGATAATGTATTGTTGCTGTACCTAATATAATAAATCACAGTTTAGTGTACAGAACCAGCTTCTTTCTGTAACTAATATAATAAATCACAGTTTAGTGTACAGAACCAGCTTCTTTCTGTAACTAATATAATAAATCACAGTTTAGTGTACAGAACCAGCTTCTTTCTGTAACTAATATAATAAATCACAGTTTAGTGTACAGAACCAGCTTCTTTCTGTAACTAATATAATAAATCACAGTTTAGTGTACAGAACCAGCTTCTTTCTGTAACTGATATAACAAACCACAGTTTAGTGTAAAGAACCAGCTTCTTTTGCTTGTTTTCATATTAACTATGATTATCTTTCTCGGGTCGATAAGCAAAAACCATCCTGATATGTATTATTACCTCATGCAGACTTCAAAGAGTTACGGTACGATGCTGTCAATATTTTTTTGAATTTTCGATACGGTGATTATTCTTTTTTTGATCATACTTCTAAATACGCATACACACATGCTGACATGCTAAAATGGAGCATGCGCAGAACTCACTCGATTCCATCGCCCCAGCAAGATTGTAAGAGAAACTGTATCTTTTACAGGTAGAAACCTGATTAGTTAAGTTAATCTTCGTTACGTTTATTATTCAAGCGGAAGGAAGTCCGTGTCGTGCAAATCCATGAGTGACTTCAACGGCTTTAAGTTAATTTGAATAGAT